GTAACTACCTTTGTTGTTCCTAGCCCCCGATCACCACTCTTTGTTTTCTGGGGTTTTTGTATAACAATGCGTGCCGAGTCTGATTTTTGCCCTCTGGTATGCTCTTTTTAAGGTTTTTGTTTGCTATATCCCCTTTCAAGTAGTCTGATTTGCAGGGCCATCGCTTCCCTATGAAAGTCTTTCGCTTCCGAACATTTGTGCCTAATCTGCAAGTATTGCATCACTTGTTCACTTGTTTGCCTGATGAAGGGGATCCTGTTAGACCCAAAATGTTGCAGCTTGTGCTTTTTCTTTGCACGTGTACGTGAATAAATAGGCGTACTTGACTCGCCTTGGAGTGCCGGTGTCGGATCGCGGCCCGTGCTTCGGCCCCCGAATCCGGCTCCCATGCGGAGACGCATACAAAGACCCCACCAGAGGGTTAACTCAGGCCGTGCCGGCGCGCCCCTGTGCTCTGCGGCGCACGGCCGATGACGTCGTCACGCCTGCCCCGTCCAGAGACGTCACCCGGGTTATATAAGGAAGACCAGCAGCCTCACTCACCACTGAGTGATCTTCAGCTAGTACCTTGATACCTGATCTGATCTGCTTCCTGATACCCACCTGTGAACTGATCCGGCTTGCTACTCGACTACCCTTCCTTGATCCTGCTCCTGTACTGCAATGTCCTCAACCACTGTATCTGACAGCCGGTGTCTATCTCTGCATCTATATATTTTGGCGGTAGCCATCCGCCGACATCCGCTGCATCCATTTCTTCACTGATGGAACAGCGGTTCTGAGTGCAATGGTTATTTGGACTTTATCTTGATTTGCAGGGCCATCACCTCCCTTTGAAAGTCTTTAGCTTCTGAACAATTGTGCCTAATCTGCAAGTATTGCATGTACAGTATTCTTAAGAAACTCCGGGTGTGCACTTGTCACGTGCAATATCGCATTGCCTGATGTTTCTTTATAGAACAACGCGGTAGAAAGGAAGTTATCCTTCTGGATATTGATACTTACATCGAGAAATGTGATTTTCTCCTGACTGTAATTCATTGTAAATTTCAGATTAAAGTCATTTACCTCCAATGCCTCTTTGAATGTCAGTAGCTCATGCCTGGAGCCTGTCCAGGCCATCAGCACGTCATCAATATTGCGATTCCAAATAACACAACA